AGAGAGAGAGAGAGAGAGATAATATTCCTCATTCCAATAATTGCTTCCCAAAAATGAGAACCTGGATATAAGAATTGGCTAGAGGACCACTTAATTACAAAATATCCAGAAACATAAACCTCCAAAGAACCAGAGAATTCCAAGCAATCATCACCTGAACTCAACAAACTCTGCCATTAAACCCAATCATTTCCATTACAATCAACGAAACTAATCAATCCATTACCAGATATCAGTTCTCAAAACCCTGAAAACCCCAAAACCCTATAATTCAAAACCCACAGTGAAAAAACCAATTTTGTGAATACCCAAGAAATCAGAAAATCAACCCAACAGAAACTTCTCGTAATCATCCATTAAGCTATTATAGAGAGAGAAAGAAGCCTTACCCTCGCAGAGTTGAGACTTGTTCGTTATGTCAACCTGAGAGTAAGAAGCACGATCAGAAGAGCAAGCCGTGGAAAGCATCTGATTGTGGTCATCTTTAAAGCGAGCGAAAGGAAGAGAGGGATCAAAAGGATCGATATTGGGGGGCTTTGGAATCTCATCATAGAGAGGGAGAGAGGGCTTTAAGTCTGCAACTTTTACAAACCACTTTTCCGTTGAGAGTAGTCGGAAAACGAGGTGTCTTCCGGCGAGGTTCCGGCCGCCCAAGACGAGGCAGGTGGTGAGGGAGTTGGAGTCCTCAGAGAGAGACATTTGGTTAGAAGTGGAGGGAGTTACAGAACGGGTTTATCAGTGGGGAGAGAGGGAGAGAATTTATGGAGTTTGGTCTACAAAAGGTACCGTTAGTTGGCGCCTAAAAGTTTTAAGCAACTCACCACTAACCACCAAAAGATGGAGTAAACAAGACGCAGCCAGCTGGAAATGGGTCGGGTCGGGTCGTGATCTAGATTCAGGTTTGAAAAGTAAACATGGCATTGGGATTTCGATTTGGACTGTATCGGATCTAAAACGCTATTTTATGTGTCATTTTATAATTTTTATATTTTAAAATTAATATATAATAAAAAATAGGGAAAAGTTTATATAGAGTCGAGGTTCTAAATAATCAAATTAAAGCTTACCTTAAAATTTTTATTAAAAGAAGTTGTTTTGGTGCACAAATATCTTCAAGTTGATCATCTCGACTTCATGCATGGATACAAGAAAACAATGGATTTCATGTTTTGAAAATAATGCATATTGTAACGTATTTTTAGACTGTCAATTTTTTACATATAATGTAAAATAATGTATTATATTTTAATAACTATGTCGAATCCACCTGCACCCAAACCCTATCTAAATGATTGTTCATATCCAAATTTTAGATCCGGATCCCATTGTTGGATCCAAATCCGAAACTCAGGCTTTAAATCCAATCCAAGTAAATTCTCAGCCCTCCCATAGCCTAGAGAGAGTAGTACAAAATATTAGTAGTATTCGTTTTTTGGCTAAGTAAAATCGTCCAGTATCACCAAAGCAACTAACCAAGAGACGGAGGAAGAGGGCAAAAGGTGAAAAATTCACAAAATATCTAGAGCAAATGGCCCAATTAGAGAGAGAGAGAGAGAGAGAGAGAGAGAGAGAGAGAGAGTGGGTATATTAAACAACTTCTCAAAGTCAATGGGAGAGAAAACCAGAATAAGGCTAGTAGGGGAAATATATGCATCGAAGCAACAAATCGTTAAGCGATTGAGGTAAAAGATTTAAAACTGGATTAGAAATTGGTGGTGAACAATTAGGTTCTTAGGCGCGATCGGTGTTATAACAATGACTTTTTTTTTTTTAATAAGGGTGAGGTTCTAAACAATCAAATTAAAGCACACCTCAAAAATCCATTAGAAGAGGTTGTTTCGAACCTCAAAAATCTTCAAATCCATCATCTCAACCTCAAGATGTATGAATATGAGAAAAAATAGATTTCAAGTATTGAAAATAGTACATCTTATAACGCATTTTTTGGACCATCGATTTTTAAGATTTTCAAGTGTTCATAGATCGGCTCAATCTACACTATTTTTGAAGCTTTAAATTTTATAATTAGATATGAAAATAAATTTCCAAACCATCACAAAAATTTCTAGTACTTAACATCTTTCAATACTATTTGAAAGTGCACCCTACTTTGATTATTTAGGGCCTTAGTCCCATACAAACCACACCCTATAAGAATTTATGTATAGTAAACCACAACCTATAAGAATTTATGTATAGTAATATGTATGACTTCTACTTAAAAAAAAGGTTGAACAACATTGGTGGTTAGCACGTTTGGATGTTGTGCATGGTGTTCTCACTTTCTAGACAAGAATTTAAATTTTTTAAGTTAAACCTCAGAAAAAGTACAGGACAAAATAGTTTTTCATGTGAAACCTCCTTCTAAAGATTACATGATTAAATAGTTCTTTAAGCGAAACCTTAGAAAAATTATAAGTTTCGAACCTATACCCGCATTAAATCCTGCCCATCGATACGAAAAATGCAGAATAATAAACAGTTTGAAATATGTGTTATCTATGATAATTTTGTCCCTTTTTTAGAAAAAAATTGCCAAATCCCCGATTCACCCGCTTTGGATCACCTATTATGTCAATCTAGATCAGGGTTAGTGTTGGTCAACCCATTCTACCGATCCATTTTTTAAAACAGTGAGATTAAATAAAGCATTCTTTGTCCTTCGGAAATAATTTACTTTCTTATTTGGGATGGAGGCAAAAATAAAAAGTTTTAGGGCTACAAATGTGGTTTAAAAAAGTATTGGAGCCGGGTGTGAAGACTTAATTTGACTCTCACCTCACACAAACACATGGGTTGACACACACGTGGGTTGTGATGTGGTCAGTGTGTTTGGTATAATGAGCTTGTGAATTTTTATTTCCCCATTTTTAGAGCATTATTTTTCATTGCAATTTGGGTTGCCACAAATCATGGTAGAAGACCATGAAGAAGAAATCATATTGTTGGATGTGTGGAATCAGCAACAATGGTATTCCTTAGGTCAATAATGATCATACTGCCAAGAAAAAGAGAAAGTAAAGAACATGGGAGGGTCAATTAGATGTCTTGGTACATTCTGAAATGAAAAACCCTCATAATTTATGAGCTCTCAATCCCATGCACTTCTAGACAACATCTGTGAGATTTACAATTGCAAATCTGACTCTCTGAATATTCTCCTAATTTATGAGCTCTAAATCCCATGCACTTCTAGACAACATCCCCCAGATTTACAATTGCATTTCTTACTGTTTGAACATTTGCAAATTACTTTTTGGAGTTTGTTCCTTCATGTCACGGGAATATGGCATTTTTCTCCATAACTTTGCTGCTTCCACTTCTGTATAGGCTTCTCATACACTTGGATCAAATCACAAATGATTCATACCTAAGAAATGCAATTAGATTCCTGATTCATTGTTCTCTTTATACTTTGTTATCTGAAATGGCTTTTTGGTTTCTTTTGCTTTGGGCCATGTTAAAAAGAAAATTTGATCTTTTTTTTATGGTCCTTTGCTGGTGTTGGGGCCTCAATTTTTGAGTTCTCTAGCCTGTAATACTGTAATAGTGAAGCATCCGGGAATAACTTGGTGGAAAAGAGTAAAAAAAAGATTTTTTTTTCATTATCGTTTAGATATATCGGCTAGAGACGCAGAAACAAAGAAGGTAGAATATGAGTGAATGAGAGAGAGTCATCATGCTGAAGTTCCATTTGATAATGGTGATCAACACCTGAAGAACCAAACCTTCAAATAAGAACATTTAGCCAATTCTTCTTAAAAAACAGGGGTTTTCATCCTGAAGAACTTGTAAAAGCTGATATTGAAGAAGTGAGTATCATTGAAAAGTTGTATCTGAATAAACAGTAACCAGAAGTTTTATTTAACATCAATGACTTCCAGTTTTTTTTTTTTTTCCTGATTCTCAATTCGAATGGATCATCATCCAAATAAGCAAAGGACCACAATCTAAATTGAAATGGAGAAATTTGACGACTCAACTTTTCTGATAACACTCCAATTCCCTCCATTGAAACCATGGAGATACAAAAGCAATCTGCCATGAAAAATCAACCAGAGATCACCAAACCATCGTCCTTTAGATAAATCCAGAATCCCAATCCCATAAACAATGGCACACAACCAGTCATGGAGACCTAACACTTCGGGCACTAAAATGCAAAGAAAAAGATCTCAATCTAAATTGAAATAGAGAAACTTGACCACCCAGCATTCTGACGTTCTCTAGTGCCTGTATGAAAGGTTCATATTTTTTGTTTTAGTCCCAACTAAGTTGCCGGCTTTTCTGAAAATAGAAATTCTCCAAAAAACAAGGGAGGATGTAAAAGCTCCACTACAGATAACCCGCAATTAAAATAACATAAAAATAAACAAAATATATTTTAAACAATGCTAAAAATATAGCTCGTTCATTCGAGACCTGCTTAATCCCATTAAAATACAAAAGCACTCACTAACTCTAATGTTGTGAACACCATACAATGGAATTTTACCTAGGAAGCCAAGCAAAGCTAGGGCACGTTTGGGTGGAGGGCAAAGCTTCGTGTTCGTATTGTGTTCTTTTGTATTACATATAAAAAATAAGAGTAATGATACTATGAGACCCTCCCACACTTACGTGAGTAAGACCTCAAAAGATCACTATTAAAATTTGACACAAATTTCTAGAAAAATTATCAATAAACCCATTCACCCAAATCCCACACACCCATGTGATAACTTTGCTAGAGATCTGTATCAAAATTTAATGGTGATCCTACATAATCCTACTCATATGAGTGTAGAGGGATCTCATAGTGTCATTACTCAAAAAATAATATATTAAATAAGTTCAAGCCAACCTGATCTTATTTTGAGCTTTATCTAGTGAATGAGTTAAGAGGCTCCGCTTAGTTTGTTCAGTGAATAAGTTAAGAGGTTAACTTAGCTACGTCATATAAAAAAAAGAGGTTAACTTAGCTAGCTTAGTTTGTTCAGTGAATAAGTTAAGAGGTTAACTTAGCTGGTCTCTTCGAGCCCAAAAGATATTCTTAGACATCTAGGGGCTAAATCAAACCATGCCAAAAAATATTGTAAGACGTCTAAGGGCCGAGTCAAACCAATTTGCGAGTAGCTCGGTCAAATCAATTTGCTAGACTCAAGCTCGGTCATATACAGATTTTTAGATAAAGTATAGGCAAGCTTCCAATTTGTACGGCCAAAATCTATGGAAAGAAAAAAAAAAAAAAATATGGCAAAAAGAAAACAATATTTATAAAAAAAAATTATAATAATTTCTCAAAAAATCTTGGTAAGAATATTATTTGAGTTAAGGTCGGACAAGACTAGAAAACTAAACTTTGTAGGTCAGATAGCGCAGGGATTAAAAACTACAGTAACGAATGCTGTGGTAGGAATTTATATAATGCTCTATTCAAACATTTATTGCTTCCCTGCAATCTATCTTTCTTATGATTAATGGAAAATGGAGACTGGGTATTATGCGTAGCAGAGAGAAAAATCGGAAACAATCCCACTTTCTCTCGCCCCCGCTCTCTCTCTCTCTTCATAACGCTCCCGCTCGCTATCATGGCCAATACCCTCTTCACTGCATACTCTCTGACCGTTCTCATTTCTATCCACTCTACGCTATAGACAATAATCGGGTAATCGAATTTCAAAATTTTTAAAATAATAAGGCAATTGACTTGAAGGAAGAAATTCATGCCAATGGAGATCGGACTAAAAAGTCCATTGATGGTTATTCATCGCATAGCTTGGTAGTGAAGTACATGTGTAATTATCACTAAAAGCACGGCGTTATCTTAACAAGGACATGGCCAAGATTTTTACTAAAGCGAATGGGTATTTGTAGTATTAAAGTTCTATGCCACTTTTTTTCACAATCTTAGGTCTGTAAAAAAGAAAAGAAAGAAGATTTTAATTTACCATTGAGCTATCTATAAAAGATCTTTTTTTTTTTTTTTAGCAAAACTCAATTTTTTGAATAATACACCCATTACAACTTGGGTCTCAGAAAGGTGAGGACCTTTAACTTTCCTTTAATAGCTTGTATAGGAGGTGGGTTGTGTCAGGTATACAGCTAGCCTAAAACCTTTGCAAGGTTTTATCATGGGAAAAATAAACCTATGAATAGCCAAAGGTTTTATCATGGGAAACATAAAACTACGAATAGAAGAATATGTTTCATGAACCCAACCCCAATTTGGAAAAAGTTTGGATGATAATGATGATGACACCCATTATAAACCAATCTAATATTAACTTTCATGTATTTTAACATTTTCAAAATCAAATATAACATGATAAACTTATGTACTATTCTACTATTTCGAGGTCCTATCAACTTCCTCTATTTTTAGACTTTCAATTTCAAAATCAAATATAACATGATAAACTCATGTGCCATTTCAAAATCAAATATAACACGACAAACTCATGTTTGAGTCGAAAAGGAGTAGCGCTTTTGTGGCAGTTGTTTGGGTCTTGGGCAATAAGAATTTCATTAGCCATACCCTGATGAAAAGCGAAAAAAAATAGCAAAAACATAAGATTAAAAGAAAAAGTTTATATATGCTTACAACCTAACCTTACCTCTACAAATAAGGTTGCAATAATCGATACGGTCTTAAAAGACATCAATCTTACACCATTCAATTAAAATAAATAGTGTGCAAACCTTATACAATTAGAAATATATTGATTTCTATAGATAAAAACATGGCATCGTTTTTGTTGGAATAAAATAAGCAATTTATCAACTTTGAGATAAAATTCTCTAATGTGATAGTTAGGTATGGAAAGTATATAATGAGACCATTTACGTTTGGTACAAGATGATCACAACTAATCTTGACTATTGGATGTGAAATTGGTAGTTGCATTTATTTCATTGACCAAACTCAAAGTTCAAAATAAATTTTTTCAAACTTTGTGACACATCCAAAGCTATCAAATTTCATATCGGATGGTTGTAAATAATTGTGACCTCCATGTACCAAATGTAAATGGTCTCATTTCCGTTTTCCATAATGGCTTAGACAAGTCGAATTGGGCGTCGCAAGTTGCCTTTGTTGTGGTTAGATTGGCAAGGCCACAAGCCCTACAATAATGTTCAATTCATACATTTTATTACATCACACTTTTCGTGGCAATGGTTTTTTTTTTTTAATGCGGGGAAGATATGTACTTATCTATTATAGTCTTTTAAGAAATTCCTCAATGCCTATACTTTTTTCTCAAAGAATATATCATATTAAGAAATCCTACATATATTCTTCGTTTTTGAAAGTCTTTCCCTCCTAGTAAAAACAATATACTTTATTTTAAAGCTTTAAAGATAGGAATAAAATTTTATATTTTCCTTTCCTATGTAGTTTTATATCGTCCATTCGAATTGTGAAAACACTCTCTATAGATAGTCTTTTCTTTTTCATCTCTCTCAATATGTCAATCTCCATTGATTTTCTTTTTTCTATCCATTTATCTTACTAAGATTTTTTTTCTAGTATTCTATATTTCGCCTTCGAATTATAATTTCTATATTATATTTTTGTACAATATAATACTATACAATTGAGTAATATTTTAATGTTAATATAAATATATTGTAAAATATGCACCGATTTAGAGTATTTGATGTGATTGATATCTTCTCTAATGGATAGAATTTTGAAAGCATGCATAGACCCTAAAACTTTGGTACACAGCTTTATCTTTCCCCATGATAGTTCTCTAATATTTGTGAACATTATAGTAGTGGCCAAGTGATGCATTATCAATGTGTCATAGCTCGTAGTAGCATTCTCAATATATATAATGATGTAATGTGTTAGCAAAACAATTTTAAGCTGAACCAATATAACAGTACATTTTAACATACCTATTTTCCGATACCGTCGATGCCTGTGTGTAAATCCTGCAAATACAAATCTATAATTAATATGAGCAAACATATTTTTCAACTACAAACACTACAGCCTAATATTGACATTGTTACATGATATAAGAAACATATATTGGACAAGTACATTCAAATGTACCTAAACAAGATAGAGACAAGCCTAACATCATTGATTTCACAGACGGACGGTGTCAGATAAAGAGGGAGACCTACGACTTAAGGTCCTTCATCACTTGGTTTGACCCACTGTCTCTCCTACGCCGTCAATCCACCAAACTTGATGGTGTTTGGCTGGTCTTAACCATTATTGAGGTAGAAACGGTTTTATAAATCATTTGATGGCAAAAGGAATTATTACAACACACCTTTTCCACTTTTGTATTGTCATCTGCAACAAAGGGAGAAATAATAAGTACAATGAAAACAAAAGCAGAGCAAAAAAACATCAAGGTTCAATAATAAGGTAAGCCAAGCCATGCTGCCAAGCAATACAAAAGTATACAATGAGATGATTTATCTTTGGCCACAATTAATCTTGACCATTGGATGTGAAATTGGATGGATGCATTTATTCCATGGACCAAGCTCAAAGCAAAAGAAATTTTCTCGAAGTTTGTAACACACCAAAGCTATCAAATAGATTTCGTAACGGATAGTTATAAATACTTCTGACCTCCTTGTATCAAAGATAAATAGTCTCATTGTATACAATCCCAAAAAAAAAAAAGAACCTCTCTTTCAAACCCATCACCAACACAACCACCCACTTAAGGAAATAATACGAAAGCATAAAAAAGAACATGAGTGAAAATTCAAACAACCACGGGCCAATTTTACACCCTAAATAACTAAATATGGATTACATAAACAAAATAATTGAAGCAGAGAGACCACCACCTCCACCCAATATAAGTTAGTTACTAATAAACAACAGTAAGATAACAATACCAGTAAATCTATTGACATTTTCTGATAAATATCAGTAAAACACCACCATAATTACTGAAAATATCATTCAAATTTTTGAACCTATAGGTAAATTTTTTTGATAAGATTACTGATAATTTTTTATATAATCTCAGAAGATGCTATAAGTTACTGATAAAATGTACTGATATTTACTTATAATATCATTAAATTTATTGATAAAATACTGGGGAATAACAACATCAGTAAGTATCAACTTTACTACTTTACCTATCAATATTAGGAAATAATATTACTACTGATTAATATAGATTACTGATAAATATCAAATTTTCTGATGCAAATAAGTAACATAATTACTGATGAATAACAATACATGTGTAGTTGTCAACAAATTTCCATAGTCACCAATAAATATTAGTAAATTCAGTAAAATTCTTGTTCTAATAATATCAGAATTATCGTTTTCTGATAAATATCACAGTTCTAAATATCAGAAAATTTCATTCTTTTTCCTAAAAACACTAGTAGAATGTAGAAAAAAAACCATATTACTGCATCACAAAGCAACAAAACCAGCGGTATAACATTGTCATCAAATCAATGTTTTGATAGTGCTGGAAAATTATAGTATAACATGAAATATACTGATGAAAATTCAGTAAATAAAGAGATAAGTATCATATTTACTGATAAATAAACATAAAGTCTAGTTCTCCAACAAATCGATAACATAACGTGAAGAAAATGAAAGCTAAAGAACCATACCTGTAAATGGATCTAGGGTTTGAAGGAAAACTTAAAGAGAGAGGGCGGATCGATAGGGTTAGGGCTTCAAGAGGGATATAGAAGAACTTGCGACAACAAAGGGGGGTTAGGGTTGATGAGACAGAAGCAAGAAACAGTTCTAGGACAAGAGCGAGGGGATACAGAGGAGAGAGGAAGGAAGCGGGTGTAGAGAGAGGGAGAAAGAGAGGGATCAACCCTCTCTCTCTCATCCGTTAAAGAAACAGATTTAGTAGTCTCTCCCTCCAACTTCACAGATGCAGTAAAGGCCGATTGAGCCTATAGGTCCCTCAGTGTACCTTCTCTGTCCTAGAGAGAGAGATATTACTATAGAGAAAGAGTGTGCTCTGCAGGTTTAATGCAGAAGTGAGTACAATGCTTAATGAGCATTCCAGGGTATTTATTCACCATATATTACCTGTTATAAATAGGTGCTCTCTCTCTCTCTTTCTGTGTTTCCTTGTGTTTCTATCACGAGTTTCATTTATGGGTGAGGTTTTTATAAGGTGTCAACCTTATGCTATTTAAGTAAGATGCACCTCAAAATTATGCTGAAAATATAGTTTCTCTAACGCAAAGCTTTGTGATAGATAAGATAATTTATTGTTGACCTCCATTATGAAATTTAAAGTTTCATAAATAGTGATGATGAAACAGATCTATAAACACTTGAAAATCTTGAAAATTGATCATTCAAATAATATGTTAGAAGATGAACTATTGTTCAGACTAGAAACTCATTTTTTCATGCTTATGAATCTCGAAGTTGAGATAATCGATTTGAGAGGTTGAGATGATCGATTTGAGGGTCTTTAAAAACAACCTTCTCTTGTGGGTTTGTTAAGTTCATCTTACCCATATAAGGTTGACACCTTATATAAACTTTTTTCTTGTTTTGTTAATCTACCTCAAAAATTTCACCGAAAGAGGTTGTTTTGATGCTCAAATGTCCTCAAATTGACATCAAGATGCATGAACATGAGAAAATAATAGATTTTAAGTTTTGGAAATAGTGCATCTTGTAATATATTTTTAGATCGTCAATTTTCAAGATTTTAATAGATCTGCTTGATCTACACTATTTTTTAAGCTTTAAATTTTATAATTAGAAAGAAAATATATTTTAAAGCTATCACAAAGATTTTCATCTTTATTTATAAAGTTTAAAGCTTCAAATATAGTGTAGATCGACAGATATATGAAAACTTGAAAATATTGAAAATTGACAATTCAAAAATGCATTACAAAATACACTATTTCCAAAATTTGAAATCCATTTTTTCTCATGTCCACGCATCTTGATGTCGAGATGATCGATTTGAAGATATTTGGACATCAAAACAATCTCTTCTAATAAAACTTTTGAGGTAGAGTTTGATTTGATTGTTTAGAGCCTAGGCTCTATATAAACTTTTTCCATATTAAAATGGGTGGTTACGGACAAGTTTCAAAATTTTCCTTCTTTGGTAACGTTTTAAGTTTTAACCCTGGAAAATCTCTAGAAGAGAGGTAAAATATCGGCGAATGCATGTTTCGCAAGTTTCAAATTTTTCTTTGGTAAAGTTTTAACGCTGGAAAATCTCAAGAAAAGAGGTAAAATATTGGTGAATGGCTGTTTATGTTGACCATATGAGGGAACCACCGTTTTTTAACACTGTGGGTATATGGAGGGTTCATCCTCTAGGAAATTTCAGAGGAGAGAAATAGGTGGATGAGATAAATAAGCGGATGGTGTGGCATTAAATATAAAAGGAGTTGAAGATAAAATTGTGGATACTGTATAAAATTGATTTTCCACTACCAAAGAGGGGGCTGCTGTTTCTAAGTTTGAAGTAGTAAGGAATTCCAATGCTCTACGGCTAATTTGGCAGAATTCAGAGCCTTACTACAAGGATTTAAAAAAATAAAATAAGGGATAAGAAACAGGGGCCTTCTCCCCAACTGATTTACCTATAAAAAAATAAAATAAATAAATAAATATATATATATATATATATATGGAAAGCTTTTTATGTTCCCCTTACAACATAGAACGTCCATCTTCCCCAACAATCCAACCGTCCATTTTTTATTAAGAGAGCCACTAATCGTTTGATCTTAGAGCCGACGTTTCAAAGTATTTTATTTTTATTTTTTTTAATACAATTTTTCTAAATATGAAATTTGATACATACCATCTTCTCATTGGAGCACACCTATTAAAAATAGTAACAATAATTTTTGGATAAAAAATAATGACCAAAATACCCCTTGAAACTTTCAAGGATATTTTGGTCATTTTATTTGATTGAAAATATATTTTTTTATATTTTTTGTTTGTGCGAATTTAATAGAGAAATGAAAGTCCAAAATTTCGTGTCAAATCAGTTTATATAAAAAAAAATTAAAAATAAAACATTGCAGAAACGTGACATTGTAATTTGGGCAATCTTAACCCTCCATTCAAAAATGGAGGGTTGAATAAAAAGAGGATAGAACTTTTATGTTATAGAGAAACATATAAATCTTAAAAAGCTTTCCCATGTATATATATATATATATTTGTGGTGGAAGGTGATTCTCAAAATGTTATTAATTGGCAAAAAAAACAAACATTGATCCAAGAATTTCCCCAGTGGTTTGGCACCAGCAATTAATGCATCTCCCTACTTCTAGAAAATGATTGCAATTTGATGTTTTTTTTTTTTCTCTTTATGAATATTAATTGCAATTTGATGGTTACATGCGATAAAGGAACTACATGCAGTTTCAATAAGTGCAGTCCTTTTCTGAAATTAATAGCGTAATTTTCTTATTATTTTTCTTTTACCGTCTCTCTAACATGCTTGGTTCGTGTGAAACTGTTTTCTAGAAAATATTTTTACATGAAAAAATTCTCCCGGGTGATCAAGGTTTGAAATATTTTCATACCAATTAGTCTCAGTGCATCTTTTCACACCAATTAGCAACTAATTGATGTAAAAATATTCTCCCATTTGACCATTTGAAAGAACTTTTTCATGTGAATGTTTGCTAAAAAATATTTTCACGAGAACCAAGCATCCTGAAAGCATCACAAAATTCACAAACAACAATTAGGACTCATATGACGTGCATTTTAGTGTCACGATGATATACCAGATAGTATGGTACACTATATTATTATTAACAAGTTCACCTTTGTTTTACTTTGAAGTGTCAATTCGAACCCACTTTTAACTTCTATTTATAATACATTGAACATAAGAACAACTACTTTTTATTAGTTTTCTAGCATGGCCAAGAATAGCTCAGATCTATAGGAGTACAATGTTTTTAATTACTTAATAATGTAACATTATGCTTCGTAACTTATTTGTTATCTAGAACTCAAAGATTGATTGATTCTCGCTTTAATAATACAAGAAAAGTTATCTCATCTCATGAAAATTCACATGTTATTAGAGGTACTTATGTCGTCTACCTTGCCAAGGGGATCATATGTCTCCTCTATCAAACTACGACACGTTCTTATCATTCCTCGATTCTGTCTAATGCTTCCTATGCTACGTTTGTCCATGATCTTGTTTTCATTAGACAATTAATTGACCAAAATTATTTCATTATGGTTGTTACATTCAAAATTTCTCACTTTCAATCCATGTATGAACAACGACAATGATTTGAATTGTTTTCACAGTAACATGGCAACACAATAATTTAACAGGCAATTATATGGAATTCAAAATTCGATAGCTTATTAATTGCATCCACGATAAGTCTAACCTAACAAAAAATTTGCCCAATGCAACCAAACTCAATTATATGGCAGTCTATCATTATAGGTCGCTTCTCAAGCTTTTCCTTATGCACATATATCTTTGATGTGTAAAATGCAATGCACAGGGTGTCAGGCAAACCCATACTTTGATGTGTAATATTACACGCCTAATATCCGGTGCATGGGACATGAATGGCAAAGAGAGATATATTTTTCAGTTTGTGTTACCTAGAAATTGTCCTTTGCTTTGCGGATGACACCCAGAGCTTCTGCATCACTAGCATTCTCTGGGATTTTCAGTGATCTCCTAATTTCAGAACTAAACGTGCGCAAAAATGGATTACATGACTTCTCTTTGCCTAAAATTGCTGGAATCTGCTATGCAAAGAAATGAACATAAGCCTTATTCTGATTAAGCAGTAGAATTGAAAATCAAGCTTGGAAAAGGAAGTTTAAATAACAGTGACGCAAGCAAATCCATGCAATAAAATTTGGTGCACAGATATTGGTTCTTTGAATCATTTTATAATGTGAAGGCAGTGGGGCCTCACCAAGGTTTGAAATCTGGGTCTCAGGTCAACTTGAATCCCCAAATTTTAAAGTAGGCAAAAATATAGCAGACAAAAAAATGATATTCCTACTTTAGGCATCCAGGATAACAAAGAAGTGAAAAGACGAACAAACTAAAAAATTGGATATCCTAAATGGAAGGAAAAAACCATTTTGCAGATCAGAAACCATCTTAGAATGGAGCATTCTATGTTGTACTTAAAAACTGCAATACAATGCAATAAACATGAGATGGCTAATGGTTCTTTGAATCATTTTATAACCTGAAGGAAAGGGGTGGTGCCTCACCAAGGTTTGAAAACTAGGTCTTGGGCTCAACTTGGATCCAAACATGTTAAAGTAGGCAATAATATAGCATACAAGAAAAGACATTGCTATTTTCAACATCCATAATAACAAGTGTAAAGAAGAACAAACAAATAAATTGGATACCCTAAATGAAAGGACAGAAACCATTTTGGAAATCAGAACCAGCTTAATTGCATCAGGAAGAATGAAGACGACCATACTGTACTTGAAAACAAGGGTAGACAAGTTTTATTGTAAATTTGAAGGGTCAACACCTGTTTATCAAGATGGGTTTCTTGGGATTACCGTAGGTAAGCTTTTCTGGCGAAGCTCTGCTACTTGGGCAGCATATGCTTGGAGGTCTTGATTCTTCGGCTCTATAGAAAGCGCAAACTTTGCATTGCTCTGCTTGTATTCCAGGAAAGACATCATTTCCCGTATATCAGCTTCTCATTTTGTATTACATTTATTAGTCATTAAGAAGTAAAAGTATAACATACACCAGTGGTGTATGACGAACAGTGCACCAATGGGATATCCACCACCTGTTCCCAATTACTGATGATGGACAGGTGGAGATGAACCATGGTTCGTTAATCACCCCCATCCATCATCAGGCGCAGACAGTGGATATCACGTGGTGTAACAAAAAACATACATGACTGGTACATGGTATACTTTCTTTAACGGATGTGAAGATAAAGAGAATAAGAAAACGATCACAAGTACAATACTTTACCTGTACAGAAACACCAAAAGGGAATAAAAAAGTCGGTACTCACAAACACAATTCATGGATATGAACAGTTTTTAGTTCTATGAACTTTTTAAGAAGCTCTTCCATTGATGCGGCATGTTCCAACTCTAAAGAATTATATATCCTTTCTTCTTTTTTTTCCAGAAGTGAAGAATTTGTCCAATCCATCGATCCAGTTCTAATAGGTGATTCAGAAATTGTCTTCTTATTACTTGCAGAATTTTCACTTCCATCATAGACTCTCTTTTGTCCGAATAAGAAAATGGGATTTTCTTTTGTAAGTTCTTTCATTACTCCTTCTATAAATATAACTCTTTTGATAACCCATTTTCTTTTTTCTTTTAAAACTCTAACAAATAAAAACCATTTCTTTTTCCTTTTTTAAACTCTTTTTCAAGTTCTTTATGAATAGGCTCAAAAAAGGAAGGTCCCTTTCGGGCAGGACCAAAGGGTAGGTCAGTTTCCATTCCCCAAACTGTTAAAAAACAAGAATTTTGTTTTTTATTTTTTTCACCTGATGATCTATATGATGGGATCGTAGTTTATATTTGCGCCAAGTTTCAAATAGAAAGGAAATAAAATCTTTATCTGAATACTAGCTTTTAACCAATTCT